AGTGTGTGTGTGTGTGTGTGTGTGTGTGTGTGTGTGTGTGTGTTGGGGAAGGGTTCAAGGGAAAGAGAAACAGAAAAAAAGGGTCTAAGTAGTTGAAGGAATGGTATTCAAAAAGCCCAAGAAACGACATGGCCCATAAGGCTGGAATGTGGTGTGGGTGAAGAGTACTAAGAGATAAAGTTAGAGAGTCAAGTAGAAACCAAATCATGTAAGATCTTGAACATTTATCAAGGGGTTTAGTCCTTAGCCTGAGGACAGTTGGGGTCAATAAAGGCTTTTAATCTCATTTTTTCTTTTGTATGACCAGTCTAGCTATAGTATGGGGAAATAGTTACACAATTTGGGACTAGTGGCAAGGAGGCCATTTAGGAAAGCCTTGGCAGGTGGTAGGGGGTGGTGGCCTGAACTTGGCTACTAGGAGGGAGGCCAGAAAGTGAATGAATCTGAGGGCTGTCACAGGGTCACAATTCACCTGATTTGGTGATTCACTGGAAGGGGGATGAGACAGCTGTCAGAGATGATGCCAACATTTTGGTTTGGGTGACTGAGTTGATATTGATTTTGTTCACTGATGTAGAAAACAAAGGTGGTGGAACAGGTTTAAGTGTAACTACAAATTTGGCTGGGTACACACTGTATGTGGAAGATTGTATTTTTCAAGTAAGGCCATGCCTATGTATTTATCAACACTTCATATTCTTCAGTGTGATCCATGCTACTGCCACGGTGAGATGGGATCTATGTTTGTTCCCTCCTCTTGCTTTTGGGCAGGGGCTTGTGACAGCTCCAATGAACGGGGTCCCACATAAGTGATAGCATGTAACTATGAGGCTTGGTCATACAAATTCGGACACAGCTCCTGCCTAGTTCTCTCTCAGGAGGCTCACCTTTGGAATTCAGCCACCATAAAGTGGGAGGACACATGTGGGTGTTCCAGCCCAGATGCCTGGCTAGTCCCTCATACCATCAACTACCAGCCATGTGAATAAATTAGTCTTCAGAGGATTCCAGCTCCCAGTCTTCTTCCTTTCTCCCTTCTTTCCTTCCTCTCTCCTCCCTCCCTCCCTTCCTCTTTCTCTTTCTTTCTTTCTTTCTTCCTCTTTTTTAATGTTTATTTATTTTTGAGAGAGATCAAGCATGAGGGGAGGGACAGAGAGAGGGAGACAGAGGATCAAAAGCAGGCTCTGCACTATGAGTGCAGAGCCGGATGCTGGCTGGAACTCCCAAACCATGAAATCGTGACTTGAGCCGAAATCAATGGTCAGCTTCTTACCTGACTGAGCCACCCAGGCGCCCCAGCCCCTAGTCTTCTAATCTTCCCATCGAGGCCCTGAGTACTGTGGAGTAGAGACATCATCTCTGCTCTGCCCTGTCTGAATCCTGGACCTACAAAACTGTGAGAGACAAGAGATACTGATCATTTTTAGCCACCAGGTTTTGGACTAATGTGTAACATAGCAGTAGGTAATGGATATATTGCATAAGGTGTGCCTATGGGACATTCTTGTAACACACATGTATATTCCTTTTAAAAAAAAATCAATGTGGCAAACCCTATTTATGTTTCATAAGAAAACTTACACCAAGTACTCTATCAGTTCATCTCCACTATTTGTCAAGAAACCTTGACTTTTGCTTTCTTTAGCTTTGGTGAAGGAAGGGAGAGAGGATCTCTAGAATGAAATTCATGGGCAGGTGAATGCCACTCCTGGATGGGGTGGTGGAGTGATACAGTAATGACAACTGTGCCCTCTGGCACAGGCACTGCAGCATCCTGGTTTCTTGTGCGGCCACAGAAGGGCTGTGTCAGGGTGGGCCTTATTTCCTAATGACTGATACTAAGCCCACTCACACCATCTTGCCTGTCAAAGAAAAAAAAAAAAGGTTGGCCCTGACACCAAGAAATAACAGCTGGGATGTGTTAAGAAATTTTTATTGTTTCCTTTGGATTTGTGATGAAAGCACATAAAATTACAAGTGGAAGAAACATCATGCCACAAAATTGCATAGAATTATTACAAAAATGTGAATTATGCATTTTAAATAATTGGAGATAGAAGAACCAAAATATGTACACTTTAAGAGTTTCAAATACTTTGTCCTATATTTTATTGTCTTCTGAAAAGGCAAAAGTCACAATGTCCAATCTGTCACAAACAATATTTATACAGTGCACAAGCGCAACATTAAATTCAAAGTAATGCAAGCAATGGCCCTTTCTTTCAGAAGGATTTAACGACTGCTTATCAATTACAGGAGTATTCATTAATGTATGGCGATGTTGAAATGTTCAAATGAAACGCTGAAAACCAAAACCACGCAGCATGTCATTAGAATTTTGAAAATTGGTTTTCACGGCCAAAACCACGCTATTCTCAGTAGTGTAAAGGTACCAGAGGGGCACAGTCTAATTTACTACACAGCTCTCTCTATTATAGGAAAGACCACAGTACAGAATTTCACACATTCAACACAGAACAAGGCAAATACATAAAGGCACAAAACTGCACATCATATAGACCCTTTTTCTTTATCTTACTCTATTTCAAGTAATATTAATATTGTTAAATGATAGTATCGCTGTAGTAGTTTCGATGATGCAAGATGGACAGTGTTACACACTACCCCACAACTGCAAAAACTGTCATTGTACAGATATAAAAATGTGATTACAGTAAATGGCCAAATACAAATGTATTGCAAAATGACTATCGAGTCACTAAGATCATGAAATCCAACTACCAGAACAGTTTGTGTCAAGTCGAGTTTTTTTCCACTTTTGTCTGTCTCTGGCCTAAACTGTGATACAAGGTTCTGTAATAATCATCATTGTGTTTGGTTATGAATGCTATTATTAGTTCACTCTTCTGCAATGTTAGACAGTCTGTAATTTTGTTTATAAAAACGCAGCATTCAATTGTGCCCTTTCTTGCTTCCTTACGATTAATGCCTTTCTTTCAAAGTGCAAAAGTAGAATGCTTTACAAAAGAATTCTCTTTCAGTGGAAGATAAGTTTTATTAAGTGTCTAATTAATACCCCAAATCTTTCACATCAAAATATAATCATCTCCAAAGAGGATGGGATTTTTTCCCCTGTGTCTTGCTAGATGTGTTTTTTTTTTAATCAAACACTCTTGCCTAATGTTTGAACTAAGCCTTCATTTTGATTAAAACTTAATTGTGATCCCTAGTTATTGCTTAAAGTTAAATAAAATAATTTGCATAAAAATATTAAATTCTTGAAACACAATTTTCAGGACACAACTGGTTTTTGCATTTTAGAATGTTTCGCTAAGCTACAATCAGACAGGTTTATTTTAAAGTAAAATAAAGCTGTGAGCATCTTTCTTCAGGGCTTTAACTTCAATGTTCTTTGTGTTACTCTCTAGATTATATTTTCTTCTATATAATTACTCTCTTACTTAAGTTCTTTCAATAATACTTTTGATCAGTTTTCCCACAATATAATTTGTTTTTCTTATGCCACCCAACATAGAAACTTAACAAAAGACATAGTTAAGTGAGTTAAATGTACATAGTAGATATATAATGAAAGATTTTTTATGTTAGAATAAAATTGAAATCTGTCAGACTTAAAAATTATGAAAGATACTAATAAATTTCCATATTGCTGCCCTATACATTTTGTATATTCTATTAAAACAAGCTTAAAATCTGATACTTAAAATCCAGTTTTTGATCCTGTAAAATATATATCAAATTCATATTCTAAGTTCTAAATCTACCTCCACTCGTATCAATGGTTCCATCAATTGTTTCTTAGAATTTCAATATAATTTAATAGCGACATAATACAGATGTTTGACCATTTTCTTCTCTAGGTATTTATCCCTGAATTTGGTTTTAAGTCTTATAGAAGAGACTTGGGTCATTGCCAATTAAAAAACACACAGCCATACTTGTGTATGTGTGTGTGTGTGTGTGTGTGTGTGTGTATGCACTTACATGGCTGAGTGTGTACATATATACATGGAGATAATATATATCATTTATATGTGGGTTTGTGTATTCTCTACATAAATATTCAATCTTTATCTCTATAGTAAAAATAAATGAACCATATAAAATGTGAGACAGCAAAATAACCACTGGAACCTGTTCAGTCTGATTGAATCTCTGCTCAACATATATCAGCTCAACTATTTTTATTCAACCAGACAGACTCTTTGTAGTTATGTAATAATTTCAGGCCAACAACCAATGACTATCCAGACTTTTTCAGTGTAAATGGTCAACTCAGAAAGCACACTGTCTGGAAGTGTGTGGTCAGTTTGCCCAAGTAACCAAATGTAGGAGCCATATTACTAAGTCTTGGGATAGATTCACTGGGTGAGGATACAATCAAGTGACTTTTTCTCAAGAAAGAAAACCAACTTATTTGAATCACTATGGTATCTAATAAAGCCACGTCAGCAACAAATACACTGATGCCTCTACGATAAATAAATTAGCAAACTGCAAGCCGCCAGTGCTTGCAAAGCAAAGGATGGAACAGTTTAATATGCATGTTACCTTGAAGATATGGTAGTTGAGGGGCAGTTAGGAAAACAAATGCTCTAAGTTGACTGTCAATAGTGTTAAATAGTGCTATGCATTTCTCAAACTATTTCTATTACTTTGAAATACTTTACACCAGAGCTTCAAATAAAAACATGAGCTTGATTTTCTTCAGAAAAGACACTGTCCTTCATTAAATGTCCCAGGGAGCCTGGAAGTTGCCTGCTTTGAATTTACTATTGGAAAGAAAACAAAAGCCCCACATACATGCACTCTCCATAAGTAGACCTGCAGTAGTGTCCATATAACGCATAGAGCCTGGGCATGAGGATGTCTGTATGGATCTGTCTAGAACTCCCCCTTTGGTGTGGATTTTAGGCTAAGGGATGCTTCTCAGGAAGATGCTCCTGGGCAGTGATCTTTGTAGTAAGAGAGAGTCCGATGAAGTGGCCATGCATGTTTTGAAGGCCTGGCAGGAACAATCACAGAGGAGTATCAAACTCTTTTCCTGGGTTGTCCCCTTCTAGCTCCTCACTGGAAGGAGGCCTGTGGTTCAGTTTTCCAGGGTCTGAGGCCAGGGAGGGAGGGGCAGAACTGTGATTGCTGTCTTCACTGATCTTCCCTTTCATGGCTTCCTGCACGAACTCCAAGATCTCCAGGGGCAGTCTTTTGAACTTGTCTTGGTACTCTTGCTCCAGATCCATCTGCAGCTGGGAGACATCAAGAGAGGAGAGGATTTTACGTCATTTAGTTTTCTATAACCACCCACGTAGGACCTCTTTGAAAGAGATGTACAAAGACGGGGGAGAAATGAATTAATGTAAATACCATCCACTTGGTTATCTATAGAGACGTAAAACAGAGTGTAGTTGGACACATCACTTGTCCATAGCTGAAAATCAAGTTTCGGATTCTGTGTGGAGGAACAGGGCTAAAGACCTGCAACATTATAAATAAATTCCATACCCACATACACATACACAGTAGTGAATCTTTCTCTTTTTAATTTTTTTGTTTATTTCTGAGAAAAAAAGAGAGACAGGGTGTGAGTGGGAGAAGGGCAGAGAGAGAGGGAGACACAGAATCAGAAGCAGGCTCCAGGCTCTAAGCTGTCAGCACAGCTCAAACTCATGGACTGTGAGATCATGACCTGAGCCGAAGTTGGACACCGAATCGACTGAGCCACCCAGGAGCACCACAGAGGTGAATCTTTTGAAAAAGTTTGCAGAAGTAATATGCAATGATCTGAAGTTCTTAAATGTAAAGGCTGGAAGCCTCTGATAGCTGGGAGTGCCAAGGTCAACCATGCATCAGGCTGGGGAGAGGGCAGAGGCTGACTGGAGAGGACAGGGGAGATATGTGTGGGCTTCGTGAAGTGTGGCCTCACTCAGAGGTTGGGAAGCCACAGCTGGGTACTTCTAGAGGGCAGGTCCACGCATTTTTACAAAGTGAACATACTTATGTAACCAACTCTAACTTCTGTTTTGACTTCTTTTATCACCTCTTTATTTTGATTCCCTTTTTTTCATTCTAATTTTATTTGCCTTGTAAATTGTTTTAGCTACCTAATAAACTGTCTTTTAATTTATCTCTTTAATGCTCTGGAGAATGCCCAGACTTTTAAAAGGCACAGAACCCTTTCCTCAAATGCAGACACAAATGGAAGCCATAATCATAAAACAAATGAAAGCTGGGCGCCTCTGTAGATGGGGTGAAGGGTGGGGCTGGCGGTGGGTACTGCCTGCTAAAAAGCTCTGCTGTGTTGAGCCCTATCGAAACCCAGAATTTTACATGAAATTTTCTTTCCTTATTGAATGGTAAGCAGGGAGTAGAGTTTTAGAAACAGTCTGTGAGACAGCATGCTTTTTCTCCTCTTAGTAGCCTTGAGACAGATTTTCTTAAGACATGTCCTTAAAACCTTTAAGGAATTGCTTTTTCCGCTTCTCAAACTTTTAAGGTGCACACAGATCACCTGGGCTCCTGACTTTACTTCTGATTCAGGAGATCTGGGTGGGGTTCAAGATCCTGCATTTCTCAGTGGATCCCAAGTGATACCAATGAGGCTGGTCTACCTTGGACACCTTGGTTGTCTTCCTGGCCTGGCTCACCTCGGAGTTCCCCACTTACTTTTTGTTATGATCCTGGCCGTATGTCCTCCATCTGTGGCTTCATCTGTGGCTTCATGCTGTCTCTGGTGCCTGTCCTGAGCCCTGGCCCACCCAGGGTCAAGACAGTGCTCAGGGCGTCTGGCCCTCGGTGCTGTGACCCCCCCTTCTTTACCCACATTCTGGACAGTGTCAGCAGCGTGACAACACCCTCTTTAGTTTAACTCCTTTTGCTCTTGCTTCTATGCTAGAGAAATTCTGCCAAGACTTTGTTCTATAATGTGGGTTCATAATCCCTTATCTGCAATTCTAAAACCCTCAAAGTTCTGAAGTCCAGAACTTTATTGTAAATTTGTGGCAAACACATAGACATTAATTGAAATAAGCCTATTTATAATCTTTATATATTTCACGGAATGTGAATATCCATGCATGGTACTGTAGACATATTAATTTGTGTGATTATGAGGATGACCAAGCACCCCTCTGGAGTATTATGCTCACAATATATGCATTATATTACACTTTCTAAAATCAGAAAGATTATGAATTCCAAAAAAAACCATGCTCCCAAGAGTCTCAGATAATGGACTGTGGATCTGTTTGAATGACCTTTTTTTTTTTTTCCACATCAAAAAGTGCCTGATAAAAATGGCTTGGCCTGAGTACTGAAAGTCAAGTATTCCTCCCAAATATAAAATGTAGGGTATTTATGAATATGTCATGCTGGCATATGAATTCTAATAAGCCAAGGAGGAAACAAGCTATGAGAAGGGCACCCATGGGGCTCTGAGATTGACATTGCTACAATAGAGCAAAGGCACCTTCACATACAGCTGAACCCTCACTGTTGGGAACAGGCGAGCCATTGGAGCATCGCAGACAAGATGACAATGGCCAATGCTTGCCCAGGTGTCTCAACAATTTGGAAGGGTGTGGGGCTTTTACAAGAGTGAAATCTCAGCCTGGTGTTGGGCAGTTTCCATTAACTACCATCCAGGTCTCACCATCAATTTGTCTCAAGTTGAATTCAGGAATGCATGCTGTTGAAGTTTTGTTTCTAAGGAATATAGGGAAAGGAAGAAAAGCAAGGGGCCCTGTGTTTAGGAAATAGTAGATTTGTTTTTCTTTAGGTTAGTGTAGGGGGCCTTCAGCTTTAGATACATTTTACATAACCAGAGTCAATTTCTCTGAGGTCACTGGTGGACAAGACCCCATAGTGCTTGAGAGTGATGTTTCTTTTTTAAATTTATATGTAAAAAAGAAAATGTGATATGTGAGACAATGTCAAAGGCTTAAACTAACACTTTTGAATATTTTTTAATAATCTGATTTTTAAAAATAATATAATCTTAATAATTATGATTCTGCACCCAATTCCAGTGTGTGAGCCTTCCCCCCCCCCCCCCATTCCACAAAGTAATTCCCTAGGACACTGTCTGTGTCCTATAATTTAACTCAACTCTGATATCTACCTGGAGATAGCATCAGATCCCACAAGGTAAGAGCTCAGTCCTAGAAGACTGTCCCTGACCCTCATCTCATTTCATATGTCAATTGCAAGTCCAGGTTGTCACCTGTGATTCTGACCAACTGGATACAGATTGGCAGCTCTAACAATCTCCTCATTGGGTTCGATTAATTTGCTGGAGTGGCTCACAGAACTCAAACATTTTACTTACTAGGTTACTGGTTTATTATAAAAGGGTGTAACTCGGGAACAGCCAGGTGGAAGAGACGCATGGGGCAAAGTATGTGGAAAGGGGTGTGGAGCTTCCATGCTCTCTGAGCACCCACTCTTCCTGCATCTCCCTCGACATGTTTACCAACTCAGAAGGTCTTCAAACCCCATCGTTTTAGGTTTTCATGGAGGCTTCATTACATAGGCATGATGATGATTAGCCATTGGCCATTGATTCAACCTCCTGCCTCCCTGTAGGTTGGGGGTTGGCACTGTAAGGTCCAATCCTTTAATCCCACAATTGCTCCCCCTCCTCTGCCCCACAATCAGCCCCCATCTTTCCAAGGGGCTTTTGAAAAGTCATCTCATTAACATAATAAAAGACATCTTGTTGCCCATTATTTAGGAAATGTCAAGAAATTTCAAGAGTTTAGGAACCCTGTGCTAGGAACTGGGAAGAAGATTAATATAAATTCCTTATTATAAATCACAATAATAATAATTATTATTACTATCATTATTCAAAATAATTTTTAATTATTGACCCAATTGTGGCTAAGTTATAATTTTAGTGGACTTTTCTTTTATCATGGGTTAGTGGTAGATTGTATTGTTATAATCAGTTATTAACAAATTAATTACAAAATTTCATTTATTATTAAATTTCAAGTTAGAGCTTTCCTTTTATTTATTTTTTATTCTTATAAATGGAATACTTGTTCATTGTAAGAAAATATGAAGGGTAAAGTCTGGCTCTGTTCCCAAAAAATCCTATCCATCAGGAGTCTAGAATTATTCTAGCCTAAGGGTTGCAAATTCAGATGTTTGGGCGGGGGTGGAGGGGGCAGTCAAATCATGAAAATAAGTAGGAGTGAAGGGAGGCATGCTCTGTCTAAAGGGGTGCCAGAAACTTAGCTTTAGCCAATGTTTGCAGTTTTCATGAAAGATGTCCTGATTTTTTATTGTTGGCAGTCAAATTGAACCACACTCATGAGTTCTATTGGGCTTGTGAAGGGTTTCTAAATTCTGTCCTAGCAGATTTAAATCTGGTTTAGACCAGAAAACTCAAGAGATTGGGTCTGACGATGGATTTTGCATTTGGATCCTTCCTAATTTTGCCTCCCCGCCATCCTGAGCTTCAGATGGTCCTTTACTGAACACCAGGGCTTGGTCTTGAAGATCCTTCTTCTGGAGTTCAGTGCCATCTAATCTAATTCCCTTCTACTTCATATCCTCAAGGCTATTGAATGTCTACTTTCTGTAACTCAAGCTGCAAGTTTTATGGGAATGGTAGATTAATTTCACAAATGATAGCAATTCCTCCCCCCTCCTTGTACTCATGGCCTTGGCAGTATCTCCCATCAAAGAGTAGAGTGTATTTTTCATTCCCCTGAAATTAGGGAAGCCTTGTGATTTGCTTTGTCCAGTAGAATGTGCCAGCATGCAGTTCTGAGCCTAGACCTCAAAAGGCTTCATGTGCTTCTGCTCTCACTGTTGGAAGTTTACTGAGCCATTATGTGAAGAAGCTCAGGCTAGCCTGCTATAGGAGACACAGGATCCAATTATATCCCTATCGCTTCAGCTATGACATGAAAGTGAAGCTGTTATAAACCAGCCAGTCCCTAGCTGACCCACCAGCTAAACACAGGCTTGAGCAAGGCTACTGAGATCAGCTGAGCCTGACTCAGACCATAAGAATCACCTACAGTTCGTAGACTCATGAGCTTAGTAAGTGCTTATTGCGGTATGCCGCTCAGTTTTGTGTTTTTTTAGTTTTTTGGTAGGCAGCAGTATTGTGGCAATAACTACCTGATCTAGTAGAGAAATTCAAAGGAGTGTCATATATTGCCTGATATCACAAAGCACTCATAATTTAATTCAGCTGGCCCCATCTTTTCATTGCTGTAATCTTAAAACAGATTTT